CATGCACCTTGGTAAATAAGAAAAGAAAACTGTTACTAGCAGATACAATTCACATACACATGGTAATCTCCTAAAAACAAAAGATGCCTAACCTTGGCAGCCTGGCGGATAGCCATCCCTGCCACGCAGTCCTCCATGGCATGGAACATGTCCACCTCACTCCACTGCTTCCTCTTGACTTCATGCTGTGGTGTTAATACATGTAGCTAAATAACTTGGCATACTATACACATTTTAGAAAGATAACTCAATCTGAATATGTATAAACATTTACATTTCAAAGCTAAGGCATTGAAAGGTGATGAAAGTTTTCACAATAACTGAAAGTGTACCCACGTTTTTTGTTTTATGTTATCTGTAATGAAAATGAGTGTCCCGATTAGTTTAATATTGATGCATACATTGTAACATTTGACTAAATACTGCCTCTATGTAGCTGTTGTAAGATGAAACATAGCCAACAGTGATAGGTGTCAAAAAGTTAATGGTTCAAAGTTCCAAATACATATTTGCAGATTGTGCAAAACGCCTCCGTCAGAGGACTCCAATTTTGATACGGTAAAGCTCGACAACATTCCGCTGTTTTCGTGATATGTATTTCCTTTTGCTTACTTAGCAGTTCTATCAACATTTAGCAACTAAGCTAGCAACATTAGAAAATCCGTTAGCTATATTTCAGAGGTAAAAAGTTGGATATTAAATTATGTGTGGTCCTTCGCGCAGTCAAATTTTACAATATGCAGCGTGTTCCACAAAATGTATACATATAACTTTTTTGAAAACTCTCAAAACCTAACTTACATAAATTGCACAGAAAATCGGTGGTCAGCTAGCTAGAAGGGTGTCTGTCGTTAGTCGCAAAACTTACCGTTATTTTCCAGTCCATTTAAATGTTGAGCTCTAGGTGATTTAGTCCTCCAACCGCTAGAGAGTGTCCGAAGTTAGGGGGTGTCCGATGTTGGGGGAAAATTTGCTAAATGTAAACAGCGCCTTGGTTGTGCACTGACTGCAGTGTGTAAATGCATGCTTGCTAGCGTCAGAAAAACAATTTCTAACATCCATAATCAATTCCAGTATGCTCCTTCTCCTGTCTTCTTGACATTTTAATCCAAAATTATGTGTTGATCAACAGTGACAAACTAACAACTCTGCCAATGGACCGTCTTGATTGATTTTACAGCGCCAATCTGGATGCTGGACTAGCCCCGTGTTGGATATTTAAACAACTCTGTCATGCAGGGCCATTCCAGTGGCACAGCTCTAGTGGTGGGGGAAGGGGGCTAATGGCACCCCCAAAATCCGGATTATCTAAATGTATAGGATGCATAACTCCGCAACGCTTTAGGCTAGAAATAACCTGTAAAAGGCACAAACAAGAAAGACGTGGATCTAGTGTACATGGGGATATCTTTGTTTAGTCTCTATGGCTGTTATATGACCTTCAAAAGTCAATGCCTTAAAACCGTTTTCTTTTACTTTGCTTTCAATGGGAATTGAGTCATAATTTACAATGTAATACTGTCTCAATCAACTGAGCTATTCACCTTCTGAAAACTGTAGACAATTACTTTTGACTATCTATGGTAAATTCTACACATACTTTAATAGTTAGTTCAAAAAGCCAGCAGACCAGGGTTTAAACCAGCAACCCTTACAGTTATGCAAGCACACCACCTGTGCCATTAAGGGACAGACTTTTTGGCAGAGGCTGAATTAAAGGTTACAATAGCACTGCAATGACAGACTTTTGGTTGCTACAAAATAATCAGGCTTTGCATGTGGAAATGTTGTATAATGCACCTTTAACAGAAAATCACCTTCCGGTGTAAAAACCATGGAAATTAAAAACAAAAAACAATGTTTTATTTGAGAAATAGGCATTGGTCTGTAGCTGAAAAATAAAGGAAATTCACATGGACTCCACAATGCCTACTCCACTCATGCTCTACCAAGGTTTTCCAGCACACAGCTTTGACCTACTACAGTAGCTATATTGGTGTATTGTACTTCAAACAATGTGTATGCAGGTTGCTTAGGATTCAAACCTTCTCAAACAGTCTAATTCATACTCTTCAGAGGAATAATGGACTTTACAGTATCCTGCTATTAAAATAATGTATATATACTGTATATCATTAGACTGTATGTATTTTTAGACAGAGGCCTATTGTAAATGTGTATTATTGTAGCGTCACCATCTTTATGGCAAAAATAAATTAGAATACAACTTTAAGCTACATTTTCATTTGACAGAGGTAATGAATCAATCAACATCAATTGATAAAACAGGACCATGTTTGCAAAACAAGTGTTTCTGAGTTTATGTCAATATTACAGAAATGAGGAATGCAGACAGGCTCTATAGACCTCTATAGTCGTGGTCAAAAGTTTTGAGAATGACACAAGTATTGGTCTTCACAAAGTTTGCTACTTCAGTGTTTTTAGATATTTTTGTCAGATGTTACTATGGTATACTGAAGTATAATTACAAGCATTCCATAAGTGTCAAAGGCTTTTATTGACAATTACATTACGTTTATGCAAAGAGTCAATATTTGCAGTGTTGACCCTTCTTTTTCAAGACCTCTGCAATCCGCCCTGGCATGCTGTCAATTAACTTCTGGGCCACATCCTGACTGATGGCAGCCCATTCTTGCATAATCAATGCTTGGAGTTTGTCAGAATTTGTGGGGTATTGTTTGTCCACCCGCCTCTTGAGGATTGACCACAAGTTCTCAATGGGATTAAGGTCTGGGGAGTTTCCTGGCCATGGACCCAAAATGTCGATGTTTTGTTCCCCGAGCCACTTAGTTATCACTTTTGCCTTATGGCAAGGTGCTCCATCATGCTGGAAAAGGCATTGTTCGACACCAAACTGTTCTTAGATGGTTGGAAGAAGTTGCTCTCGGAGGATGTGTTGGTACCATTCTTTATTCATGGCTGTGTTCTTAGGCAAAATTGTGAGTGAGCCCACTCCCTTGGCTGAGAAGCAACCCCACAAATGAATGGTCTCAGGATGCTTTACTGTTGGCATGCCCCAAACAATCGGAAAGGGGATTCATCAGAGAAAATGACTTTACCCCAGTCCTCAGCAGTCCAATCCCTGTACCTGATGTTTTTCCTGTAGAGAAGTGGCTTCTTTGCTGCCCTTCTTGACACCAGGCCATCCTCCAAACGTTTTCACCTCACTGTGCGTGTAGATGCACTCACACCTGCCTGCTGCCATTCCTGAGCAAGCTCTGCACTGGTGGTGCCCCGATCCCGCAACTGAATCAACTTTAAGAGACGGTCCTGGCGCTTGCTGGACTTTCTTGGCGCCCTGAAGCATTCTTCACAACAATTGAACCTCTCTCCTTGATGTTCTTGATGATCTGATAAATGGTTGATTTAGGTGCAATCTTATTAGCAGCAATATCCTTGCCTGTGAAGCCCTTTTTGTGCAAAGCAATAATGACGGCACGTGTTTCCTTGCAGGTAACCATGGTTAACAGAGGAAGAACAATGATTTCAAGCACCACCCTCCTTTTAAAGCTTCCAGTCTGTTATTCTAACTCAATCAGCATGACAGAGTGATCTCCAGCCTTGTCCTCGTCAACACTCTCACCTGTGTTAACGAGAGAATCACTGACATGATGTCAGCTGGTCCTTTTGTGGCAGGGCTGAAATGCAGTGGAAATGTTTTTTTTGGGATTAAGTTTCAAGGCAAAGAGGGACTTTGCAATTAATTGCAATTCATCTCATCACTCTTCATAACATTCTGGAGTATATGCAAATTGCCATCATAAAAACTGAGGCAGCAGACTTTGTGAAAATTAATATTTGTGTCATTCTCAAAACCTTTGACCACGACTGTATATGAGTGACTGTGTCCAACACACCACCACCAGTTTTTATGTTCGCCACCTACTGACCAAAAAAAGATATTCTGAAATATATTTTATTCTCAATGACATGTATTGCTAAATCAAAAGGTTTAAGGAAATACAGGGAGGCACCACATTACTACAAGACAAAACAGCTCGCTCAATCAAGCTTGAAAATGGAATGGAATGGGATTAGTGTGGTGTGCGAATAATCCAAAACTTTAACTTGTATTCGTTACAAATCACATTATTGTAGGAGCACCTCGTCTAAGAGTATGAATTAGGCTGTTTGAGATGGTTTGAATCCTAAGCAACTTGCATACACATTGTTTGAAGTACAATATACCAACATAGCTACTGTAGTAGGCCAAAGCTGTGTGCTGGAAAACCTTGGTAGAGCATGGGTGGAATAGGCATTGTGGTGCTCACTTGAATTTCCTTTCTTTTTCGGTTTCAGACCAATGCCTACTTCTCATTTAAAACAATTTGTTTTTAATTAGACTTTATTTTGGCATGGCCTATTGTTCAATGAGAAACACAACATTTTCTTCTTCTTCTTCTTCTTCTTATTATTATTATGATTATTTGCCATTCACCTTGAATCATGTTATTTACATTGATGTGTCTCAGTAGGCCAATAGGCTATAAATAGGAGATAAGTGCAGTCAGTCACCTGTACAACTCATTCTGATCAATGGATAAAGTGAGCTAAAAGTAACCAATCTCAGCCTTTTTTGATGAGCGCTCCAACTCCTCTCTGCCTTGAATTAGTCCTTTTGGCAGTTTTTCTTGGCAAGCCTTTGTTGGATTTTTGTCATTGTTGTCGAGCACCCCTCCTATTTTTCTGTGTTTGCTGTAGTGTGGAGGCCTACCTGAACACTTCAAAGCTATTGATCAGAAATCCTCCCTGCAGGTGTTGTCTGGCCTTAGTTGTACGTGATCATTGATAATATAACTTATTAAAGGACAAAAATAATGTCCTTGCTACAAAACCCAATTCCTAAATCTAATACCAAAACAGTGTCAATGTAATAAATGTAATGCAATACATATAATAAACCCCAATCACAAATCAACCCCTAGCCATTCCAGTAGACCTAGAGGTGACCTAATCAATCATTCAAACAATTCAGATCTTCACAAGTGCCTTGGAGTTGATTTAGTTGACAGTGCCTTCTCTGGGAATTCCTTTGTGTTATGTCCTCTCACCTCCATAGGGTTGACTGTGATGGTGAGGGTGGAGTCGTCCCAGTCCATCTCTGGGTCTGTGGCTCCATCCTCCTCACTCTTGGAGCTGTCCTGGTGGGTACTATGGAGCCTGTAGATGCCTACCACCACTATAACCACCAGGGCGGCTATACAGATCACTACCACGACTGTGGCAGCTGGAGGGGTGCCTGTGGGGGGAGAAGCGTGTTTAAAGGGTAAGTTCACCTGAAATTACAAAATCACTTCACTGTTTCATTACATTGAAAGTAGTGTCTATTATTCTTATTAATGTGATATAAAAAATGTATGTATGGGGGGACTGGCTTTCTGTTCTTGTGGTAAAACCGTAGAAATCTGATGCCACATTCTTTCCATTGAGCAGTGTCTCTACTCTCGGCTCTCTCTGTACCCAATAGGGCAGAGATCCCCAGTTCCCTCTGCTGTGTGCTGTGTCCTCTCTACCCTTGGGAGGATCACTCAGTCCTGTATATGTGTGTGTGTGTGTTTGCATGTGTGTGACACTGAGAGAGGGAGACCGAGACAGCGTGTGTCTGTGTGTGTATGACCTGAAGGCTTAGCCTAATCTGGATCCCCCTCCAGTTCAACAAAACACACCCTCAGGTCTTCACTGTGTGTGTGTGTGTGTGTGTGTGTGTGTGTGTGTGTGTGTGTGTGTGTGTGTGTGTGCGCGCACTGCTGGGTGCCTTACCTGAGATGTGTGAATTGACAGAGTGTACCATTAGTGGATGATGCACAGACCGCATGTACTGGGATTGGACAGCCATGTGATTGACATGCTCTACAGGTGCTGCGTTGTGAAGGACGTTAACCTGAAGGTGGGACAAAGAACATATCAGTCAGTATGGAGATGGCTACTGGCGCAGACAAAAATAGAGTGGGGAAGGGGTGAAGTGAAAAAGGAAACCGTTTCTTCCCTGACCTCCAAATTAAACTCGTTACTGGTGTAGCGTCCATTGAGCTCGGAGCAGGTGAGCCTGAACCTCCTGTTATTCAGGGTCGCCGGGCGCCAGTTCCTGTAGCACACCTGCCTTAGGGCCTCCTCATAGTGGGCCATGGAGTCCACACCTAGGGAAAAAGACCGGAGAAAAGGCATTATTACCAAAGGTGTCCCTGGTTGTTCCAAACCAAATATAGATGGTGTCCCACAGGGCTCAAAAGTGGGCCCAGTGTTTTCCTCAAGACACAGCTTTAATATCTTGTATAGCTTCTGATACGACTGCTAAGCAGGTGACACACTGGCAAGATGTTGAAAGTGTGTATGAAATGTGTGACATAAATAATGCCTTATGAATTGAACACGCAGTATCCTTGATTCAGTCAATTAATGATGGTACATACCATATATGGATATTCCTGAGGTGGAGTTTGTGGCGTCCAGGTGTTTCCCCATTAGAGAGCTGTGGTGAATCTCCAGACTCTCGTGCTCTGGGTTGAGCTCCTCTCCAATCACCAGGACATCACAGTAATCCAGGTTGTGCATCGCCTCCAGAACACCAGGCCTGTAGACTACACACATATACACAAACACACAAATCAAACAAAATCAAACACACACTTTTACAACTTGACTAGTTGGGATCACATCATGCTGATCAACATGTATCCACGGTAACCGCCCCCCACCCACCTGCGCTGAACGGCACACCGTCGCCCTTGGTTACAGTGCTGGTGATGCTCAGCTCCTTGAAGGGTGCCACGCCCATGGCTCCACGCAGGTCGGCAGCAGGCCTGACGAGTCGATCTGAACCAGCGATGGTGATCCGTGGCTCGCTGGGTGGCAGGACCATTACTAAAGCCTTAATGTCTGGGATGGAGATGCATATGTCCTCCCCGAAACACCTGAGCTCCCAAAAACAACAGGAGGAGAAGGGGAAAGTAGAAGAAAATGGAGATAGACATAATTGCTATTTCATACTGGAATCGAAATGGCATAAATTGCCTTGTGTGGCACCGTTAATTTGTGCTTCCACCCAAGAGAACACAGCCTAAATACTCTTTCTGGTCCTGACAATGAATGACTAGGCACTTTTCATTTTAATTTCAGAGGTGAGAAACAGATACTGTAAATACAGATTGTGATTGAGGCAGTGAAAGTGGACTTCTAATATTTGTCCAATTTTGATTGCAAGTGGCTTCTGTTGGTAAAGAACTCCGCAGCTTTTCAGATTTTTTGGGAGTGATGTGCTTTTCAGACAGATGGCTCCAAGCTGCCCATTTCCAATAACACACACAAGCACACACACACACACACACACACACACACACACACACACACACACACATACACACACACACGTATACTAATTATGAAATGTTTTATCAACACAATGTAACACTTTCTCAGCCAACGGTTGACATGAAGCGAAACCCCCAAACAAAGAAACATTTTAATTGTATATTTTACATTCACTGTACCTACCTCCTACACACTTGTGCCTAGGGGTAAGGGCTTAGGGCCTAGGAGTTGTTTCTGGATGTGCCATTCTCTCTACCTTTCACTGTTACTACTATTTAAGTAGTACTCAGACGAAGTTGCCCCTAGACACTGATTTAAGATCAGTTTTGCATTTATTCATACTAGATTACGACTAGATTACGATCGGATCTAGATTCTAAGGGCCTCCTACCCAGAGTGAGGAGCTGTCCTGCCACCCAGGCAGTCTGGGGGAAACAAGCTGGCTGTCATCTAAGTTCATTACAGTTTGAGGGGGGCAGAGTGAAGTCTCTCAGGATTAATACAAACGTTGGCACCTAAAGCCTCAAGTAATTACGCTTTTCAAGGGTTGGTGAAAAGTGCTCTTCACTCACTTATTTATTCATAGATTTACTTTCCCACACTAATTAAAAACCAGTCTATTTGTTTATATGATAACAGTCTGGTGCTTCTGGCTTTACTAGCTACAAATACTGATTGGACTGCTTTACCATGGTAATAACTAGGCCTAAATGAAAGCATGTATTAAGACTCATTGTTCTCCTTAACTAAATAACAGACTGGCTTTGAATGGGATGTCTTTATGTGTGTGTCTGTGTATTTACATGTATTTGAATAGGAAGAGTGTGTGTGTTGTGTTGTTTTGTGTTGTGTGTGTGTGTTGTGTGTGTCAAATCAAAATCAAAACAAATGTATGTCACATGCGCTGAATACAAAAGGTGTATACTTTACCGGGAAATGCTTACTTATGAGCCCTTTCCCAACAATGCAGAGTTAAAAAGTAAGAAAAATTAGCAAAAAATGAAATAGTAACACAATAAAATAAAAATAACGAGGCTATATACAAGGAGTACCGGTACTGAGTCAATGTGCGGGGGTAGGAGGTAGTTGAGGTAATATGTACATGTAGGTAGGGGTAAAAGTGACTAGGCAATCAGGATAGATATAAACAGAGTAGCAGCAGCGTATGTGAAGAGTGTGAAAGAGTGTGAAAGAGTGTGAAATTGTGTGTGTGTGTGTGTGTGTGGCGTCAATATGCATGTGTGTGTTTTGTGTATGAGAACGTATGTAGTGTGTGTGTGTGTGTGTGTGTGTGTGTGTGTGTGTGTGTGTGTTGGAGTGTCAGTGTAGTGTGTGAGTGTGTGGGTAGAGTCCAGTGAGTGTGCATAGAGCCAGTGCAAGAGAGTCACGGTAAAAAAAAAACTGGGTCAATGCAAATAGTCCAGGTAGCCATTTTATTAACTAACTGCTCAGCAGTCTAATGGCTTGGGGGTAGAAGCTGTTCAGGAGCCTTTTGGTCCCAGACTTGGCACTCCGGTGTGGATGCGTGTGCATGCAGGTCCGTGCATGTGTGTGTGTGTGTGCCTGCGTGCGTGCACCTGCAATCGTGTGTGTAGATTTATCTGATAAGCAAAATTGGCTGTAACTCCACAAACAATTACCCCGAACAACACCTGTAAAAAGTCTGTGGGGTGTAGCAAAGTCTCCACACTAAACTAGGGCCCTCACTAAATAAATGCCACTTGACCAGAAACACTATTAAGAATTTGCTTCCCAAATGACACCCTATTGCCTACTTATTCCCTATGAGCCCTGGTCAAAAGTAGTGCACCATGTAGACAATAGGGTGGCATTTGGGACGCAACCAGGACCATATGGAGCATGAAAGTGCCTGCTGAATAGGAGGAGCCATCTCTCTTTATACAAGGCAGTGCTCTGAGTTCTCCTGCGTTAGACTAATCCTATTACAGCTCCTGTGACAGGAGTCCACTATCCACCACAGTCGTCCATTTTGAGTTGGTGTAGACACGCACACATGGGCGCACACACACAGGCACAACATGTACGCCCGCACATGCGCAGACAGACGTGCACACACACACCTTTTTTCACTTAGCAGTACCTTTCATGACCTCTTGTTAGACCACACAACCTCATCTTTTCTCATTCCCGCTCTTATTTGGCCCTGCATTTGTTTAGCAGTTCATTTCATTGCTTATTTCACACTATTTCTTTCTCTCCACTCTTCCACTCTCACTTCCTATCTTGTTTTTGGGCCTGCATTTCATTACCAATACATTTCATGAACTCCTATACGACTGCATACTATCTTTCTATCTCTTATTTTGCGAGAGAGAGCGAGAGACAAGAAGAGAGACAGAGAGAGACAGAGAGAGAGAGAGAGAGAGAGAGAGAGAGAGAGACAGCGAGAGAGACAGCGAGAGAGAGAGCCAAGCGAGAGAGAGAGAGACAGCGAGAGAGAGAACAGCATAGAAGACAGTGAGAGAGAGAGAGAGGAAGAGAGAGACAAGAGAAGAGAGGAGAGATGAGAGAGAGAGAGAGAGAGAGAAAAACGGACCCACCCAGTCTGCCAGCCATTCAGTCTTACCAGCTCTATATAATCTAATGATCAAACTATTTTCCCTCTCGGAGTGCTCTCTGGCTTGAGAAACCCTGACACAGCAGATTGCCTTCATGGCCCTCATCCTCATTCCTATCCTCAATCATCAGCCTGTACGCCTGATTGGCGCAGTGGTCTAAGGCACTGCCATCACGCAGTGCTAACTGTGCCACTGAGATCCTGGTTTGATCCAGGCTCTGTCGTCCGCCGGCCGCAACGCGGGAGACTCATGTCGGCGCACAATTGGCCCAGCGTCGTCCAGGGTAGGGGAGGGAATGGCCGGCAGGGATGTAGCTCAGTTGATAGAGCATGGCGTTTGCAATGCCAGGGTTGTGGGTTCGTTTCCCACGGGGGGCCAGTATAAAAAAAATATGTATTCACTAACTGTAAGTCGCTCTGGATAAGAGCGTCTGCTAAATGACTAAAATGTAAAATGTCTGATGCAATGTCGGCTCCGGCAACCACAGCTCCATCGGCAACCGCGGCGCTATGGCGGCCCTCTCAGCCGTGGCGCGGTGGGGCGGAATTGTGTGGTTACTGAGGGGAGATGTAAAGAGAGGGACACAGCACACATCTCCCCTCTAACACTCTTGATTAGCATATCAGACACAGAGAGACCACACTCTCACTCTCCCTCCATCAAAACATTCCCTCTCTTTTTCCCCAGAGAACCACAATTCTTTACCTCGGCTGTATTTGTTTGTGTGAAATACACAAATGAAGGTTTGATAAACACAGTCTGGGAAGTGATATACAGTGGGGGAAAAAATTATTTAGTCAGCCACCAATTGTGCAAGTTCTCCCACTTAAAAAGATGAGAGAGGCCTGTAATTTTCATCATAGGTACACGTCAACTATGACAGATGAGGAAAACAATGAGGAAAACAATCCAGAAAATCACATTGCAAATTATGGTGGAAAATAAGTATTTGGTCAATAACAAAAGTTTCTCAATACTATGTTATTTACCCTTTGTTGGCAATGACACAGGTCAAACGTTTTCTGTAAGTCTTCACAAGGTTTTCACACACTGTTGCTGGTATTTTGGCCCATTCCTCCATGCAGATCTCCTCTAGAGCAGTGATGTTTTGGGGCTGTCGCTGGGCAACACGGACATTCAACTCCCTCCAAATATTTTCTATGGGGTTGAGATCTGGAGACTGGCTAGGCCACTCAAGGACCTTGAAATGCTTCTTACGAAGCCACTCTTTCGTTGCCCGGGCGGTGTGTTTGGGATCATTGTCATGCTGAAAGATCCAGTCACGTTTCATCTTCAATGCCCTTGCTGATGGAAGGAGGTTTTCACTCAAAATCTCACGATACATGGCCCCATTCATTCTTTCCTTTACACGGATCAGTCGTCCTGGTCCCTTTGCAGAAAAACAGCCCCAAAGCATGATGTTTCCACCCCCATGCTTCACAGTAGGTATGGTGTTATTTGGATGCAACTCAGCATTATTTGTCCTTCAAACACGACGAGTTGAGTTTTGACCAAAAAGTTATATTTTGGTTTCATCTGACCATATGATATTCTCCCAATCCTCTTCTGGATCATCCAAATGCACTCTAGCAAACTTCAGACGGGCCTGGACATGCACTGGCTTAAGCAGGGGGACACGTCTGGCACTGCAGGATTTGAGTCCCTGGCGGCGTAGTGTGTTACTGATGGTAGGCTTTGTTACTTTGGTCCCAGCTCTCTGCAGGTCATTCACTAGGTCCCCCCCGTGTGGTTCTGGGATTTTTGCTCACTGTTCTTGTGATCATTTTGACCCCACGGGGTGAGATCTTGCGTGGAGCCCCAGATCGAGGGAGATTATCAGTGGTCTTGTATGTCTTCCATTTCCTAATAATTGCTCCCACAGTTGATTTCTTCAAACCAAGCTGCTTACCTATTGCAGATTCAGTCTTCCCAGCCTGGTGCAGGTCTACAATTTTGTTTCTGGTGTCCTTTGACAGCTCTTTGGTCTTGGTCATAGTGGAGTTTGGAGTGTGACTGTTTGAGGTTGTGGACAGGTGTCTTTTATACTGATAACAAGTTCAAACAGGTGCCATTAATACAGGTAACGAGTGGAGGACAGAGGAGCCTCTTAAAGAAGAAGTTACAGGTCTGTGAGAGCCAGAAATCTTGCTTGTTTGTAGGTGACCAAATACTTATTTTCCACCATAATTTGCAAATAAATTCTTTTTTTTCACATTTTGTCTGTCATAGTTGACGTGTACCTATGATGAAAATTACAAGCCTCTCTCATCTTTTTAAGTGGGAGAACTTGCACAATTGGTGGCTGACTAAATACTTTTTTCCCCCACTGTAAGCCTTTCTGTGTGCTTGGTGTGAATCATGTTTGTGTGTGTGTGTCTGTGCGCACAAGCACCTGTGTCTTTGCGCTTGTAGCCTATGTGTGAGAGAGAGAGGAAAATAGGTTGAGGAGTGTGTGTCTGTGTGTGGGAGACAGATTACAGCATGTGTCTGTGTGTGGGAGACAGATTACAGCGTGTGTCTGTGTGTGGGAGACAGATTACAGTGTGTGTCTGTGTGTGGGAGACAGATTACAGCGTGTGTCTGTGTGTGGGAGACAGATTACAGCGTGTGTCTGTGTGTGGGAGACAGATTACAGCGTGTGTCTGTGTGTGGGAGACAGATTACAGCGTGTGTCTGTGTGTGGGAGACAGATTACAGCGTGTGTCTGTGTGTGGGAGACAGATTACAGTGTGTGTCTGTGTGTGGGAGACAGATTACAGCGTGTGTCTGTGTGTGGGAGACAGATTACAGCGTGTGTCTGTGTGTGGGAGACAGATTACAGCGTGTGTCTGTGTGTGCGTACGCATACACATCTGTAGGGTTCCATACTCACTGTACGGTGGTGGTGATGTGTAGCTGTCTGAAGCCTGCTGTGGGGAACTGGCGTGAGTTGATGTAGGAGACCTTGGCCATGGCTGTGGTGACACTCTCCAGGTCCTCTCCCTCCATCACCAGCACCGACTGGGCTGGGTTGAAGTGGAACTGTACAGACAGAATAACACATTAATCAACACATCGATACTAGAGGGGAAGTTAATTTATTGTGATGTCTTATGAGGGTCTTGAACCTCTCGATCTGTACCGTTTCTACAGAGATCGCCTTAAAAATAAATACTTTACCTAAGAGTATAATTGTATTTATTTGATTGATGGTGTTTTTCAGATCTCTTAACAGTACTGTTTGTAGAACACAGACATTATGACTTATGAGGGTTAAGGTGTGTTTGTAGAAACACCCTGTGTGTGAGTCTTTTATTAACATTTATGTCTGTTTATATGTGTGTGTGTTCGTGTGTGTGTGTGCATCCGTGTGTCTCCAGAGCTGTCACCTTGATGTTCTTGCCCAGGCTCTCCAGTGAGTTGATATCCAATCCTTCCTTACAGGCCTGTAGACAGGAGATGACCTTCTGGGTCTCGATCCTCCCTGGCCTGATGGTCAGCCCAGACAGACTGCCCCGGAAGAACTGGGTGAACCGTGGGGTGGACACCTCACCACCTAGGGAGGAAAAGAAGAGGAAGGATGGGACATCAGGGTTTGTTCAGTTCAAAGGTGCATCTCAAAATGGCTTCTGAGGAGATCATGTCCTCTCCTTAATCTGCTCTGATCTGAAATTCTGAAATTACAGCACAGGTGAAAGCAATATGGTGCATGTCTCTATTATAATATAAGAATATGCTTTGGTAATTCTTTATTTTACAGTCCTTTACGCTTTATTTACTCAGTCTAAGTTAGAAATGACAGTTTAAGAAAGGAGAATAACCTACATAACTAACCTTTCAACAAGACTAACCTTTATAAATAAAGGTTTCAATAAAGGCTAACAGAGGGTGACCTTTTTTACCACATTAGGTAAATACCAAGCCAAACAGTACCGTAAAATAAAGCCCATAGCGTGACTACGGAAATGTCAGCCAGTTTTCGTTTGCCAGTACCCATCTGCTCTCCCCACTTATTTTTTAAAGCGACTGTCAAAACAACAAAATAAAAACATGTCCAATCTGAGGTAGCGTCAGGGACATGAGGCCTGTGAAGGAAAAACGCTGCCGTCGTCTTATTCAGACGAGTGTGTGTGTGTTTCCTCTTTGATCCACTGGCAAATGGAACTGGCAGTTCGCTAGTCGCTATAGTAATGTGCTAACGGTCCCAGAGCTGTGTCTTGCGCTGACATACTCAAGCGTTCTTGCCGCCACCTGCAACGGCTCCAGACTTATTGCTCCTGATTTTTTATTATTATGATGTTATCAACTAAGTGTTGTGGCACAGATTGAGGGAGCATATTTTGGGCTCATTTCGGTACCAAAAGAGGAGAATTTGAACAAGAAAACGTTCAGCGTGTAGGCCTCAGTCCGGCTAGCATATGCTATTTCTGCACACCTGGCTGTATAGTATTTACAACTGCAGTGGGAAAGATAGCAATTAAGTTTAAAATCAACAGTTTGACTTCGCTGTATTAGGAAAAGTAGGTTCAAGATTGTGGTGTGGTTATGGTTAAGAAGAGGCAGGACATGGCAGTAGGCCTAAGGCCAGCCAAAGTTGCTCTGCACTATACTTCCCTAGTAGTTACAGTGCATTCGGAAAGTATTCAGACCCCTTGACTTTTTCCACATTTAGTTACGTTACAGCCTTATTCTAAAATTGATTAAATCGTTCCCCCCCCCCCCCCTCATCAATCTACACACAATACACAATAATGACAAAGCAAAAACAGGTTTTTATTTTTTGTGTGCAAATGTATTAAAAATAAAAAACACTGATATATTACATTTATATAAGTATTCAGACCCTTTACTCAGTACTTTGTTGAAGCACCTTTGGCAGCGATTACAGCTTCGAGTTTTCTTGGGTATGACGCTACAAGCTTGGCACACCTGTATTTGGGGAGTTTCTCCCATTCTTCTCTGCAGAAACTCTCGAGCACTGTCAGGTTGGATGGGGAGCATCGCTGCACAGCTATTTTTAGGTCTCTCCAGAGATGTTTGATCGGGTTCAAGTCCGGGCTCTGGTTGGGCCACTCAAGGATATTCAGAGACTTGTCCCGAAGCCACTCCTGCATTGTCTTGGCTGTGTGCTTAGGGTCATTGTCCTGTTGGAAGGTGAACCTTCACCCCAGTCTTAGGTCCTGAGCTCAATGGAGCAGGTTTTCATCAAGGATCTCTCTGTACTTTGCTCCATTAATCTTTCCCTTGATCCTGACTAGTCTCCCAGTACTGGCCACTGAAAAACCCATAGCATGATGCTGCCACCACCATGCTTCACCGTAGGGACGGTGCCAGGTTTCCTCCAGACGTGATGCTTTGTATTCAGGCCAAAGAGTTCAATCTTGGTTTCATCAGACCAGAGAATTTTGTTTCTCATGGTCTGAGAGTCCGTTAGGTGCCTTTTGGCAAACTCCAAATGGGCTGTCATGTGCCTTTTACTGAGTAGTGGCTTCCGTCTGGCCACTCTACCATAAAGGTCTGATTGGTGGAGTGCTGCAGAGATGGTTGTCCTTCTGGAAGTTTCTCCCATCTCCACAGAGGAACTCTGGAGCTCTGTCAGAGTGATCATTGGGTTCTTGGTCACCTCCCTGACCAAGGCCCTTCTCCCCCGATTGCTCAGTTTGGCCAGGTGGCCAGCTCTAGAAAGAGTATTGGTGGTTTCAAACTTCTTCCATTTAAGAATGATGGAGGCCACTGTGTTCTTGGGGACCTTCAATGCTACAGAAATGTTTTGATACCATTCCCCAGATCTGTGCCTCAACACAATCCTGTCTCGGAGCTCTATGGACAATTCCTTCGACCTCATGGCTTGGTTTTTGCTCGGACATGCACTGTCAACTGTGGGAGCTTGTATAGACAGGTGTGTGCCTTTCCAAATCATGTCCAATCAATTTAATTTACCACAGGTGGACTACAATCAAGCTGTAGGAACATCTCAAGGATGATCAATTGAAACAGGATGCATCTGAGGTCAATTTCGAATCTCATAGCAAAGGGTCTGAATACCTATGTAAATAAGGTATGTTTTGTATATCTTTTTTTTTTTGTAAACATTTCTAAAAACCTGTTTTTGCTTTGTCATCATGGGGTATTGTGTGTAGATTGATGAGGCTGTAACGTAACAAAATGTAGAAAAAGTCAAGGGGTCTGAATACTTTCCAATGCACTGTACATAGTAATTACACAACATACATTGCCTGTCTACTCTGCATAAGAAGAGCACCGTTCAAAGCAATCTCCATAAAAGTTTCCCCAACGAAAATGGGCAAAAAATATATATGATGTCGCTCTAGTCACAAGTCACGAATCTTGTTTCGATTTGGGGGAGCTAAAATTATGTCTGGAGCCTATCGTTCCGTGTGTCTCTTCATTACGTTGTTGATTGTGTGCAGGGTGGTGGGTACTTAGAAAGGCAATCCTGTTCACTAATGGTCTGCAAAGTTATCAATTGCGGCTTAGTGAAGCTTAAAGCAGCTTCATTGGGATGTAATAGCCAGAGAACTTGTCTTCCATTCAGACTGTCTTAATCCCTTCTTCAGGGCTTTCTCACAGAATCACAGATTCATGGAAAGAGACAGGGAACAGGAGAAAAAAGAGAAAATTGCAATCAGAAGCCAGATGAAAATAAATTAAAATTACACCGAAATGCCATTGGCCCTCGATGCCTCGAGTGGGGCTCATGTGATTTAGCTGTACCCATCTCCCGGCCTACTCCCCCCAGCAAAAACATTTATATAATTGTTATTTTCGTATCATAAAAGCTATATTAAGTAGTGCTTCTTCATTCAAATGAGATCATTAGCCCCCTCTTTTCAAGCGGCTGGAATTGACAACCTGTGTTTCCTGTTTGATGTCTCCAAGCTTGAGCCTCTTCGATTTGAAAAAGAATGACTCGAAGTTAGAGGTAGTTTCGCGAGCCAATGCTAACTAGCGTTAGCACAATGACTGGAAGTCTATGGTAACTAGGGCTGCCCCCAACTAAAATAATCTTGGTTGACCGAGAGTCGTCCGTTTTTTCGACTAATCGATTGATTGAAATTTTAAAACGTGTATTTTTCCATATACAGTGGGGAAAAAAGTATTTAGTCAGCCACCAATTGTGCAAGTTCTCCCACTTAAAAAGATGAGAGAGGCCTGTAATTTTCATCATAGGTACACGTCAACTATGACAGACAAAATGAGAAAAAATATTCCAGAAAATCACATTGTAGGATTTTTAATGAATTTATTTGCAAATTATGGTGGAAAATAAGTATTTGGTCAATATCAAAAGTTTCTCAATACTTTGTTATATACCCTTTGTTGGCAATGACACAGGTCAAACGTTTTCTGTAAGTCTTCACAAGGTTTTCACACACTCTTGCTGGTATTTTGGCCCATTCCTCCATGCAGATCTCCTCTAGAGCAGTGATGTTTTGGGGCTGTCGCTGGGCAACACGGACTTTCAACTCCCTCCAAAGATTTTCTATGGGGTTGAGATCTGGAGACTCCAGGACCTTGAAATGCTTCTTACGAAGCCACTCCTTCGTTGCCCGGGTGGTGTGTTTGGGATCATTGTCATGCTGAAAGACCCAGCCACGTTTCATCTTCAATGCCCTTGCTGATGGAAGGAGGTTTTCACTCAAAATCTCACGATACATGGCCCCATTCATTTTTCCTTTACACGGATCAGTCGTCCTGGTCCCTTTGCAGAAAAACAGCCCCAAAGTATGATGTTTTCACTCCCATGCTTCACAGTAGGTATGGTGTTCTTTGGATGCAACTCAGCATTCTTTGTCCTCCAAACACGACAATTTGAGTTTTTACCAAAAAGTTATATTTTGGTTTCATCTGACCATATGACTTTCTCCCAATCCTCTTCTGGATGCACTCTAGCAAACTTCAGACGGGCCTGGACATGTACTGGCTTAAGCAGGGGGACACGTCTAGCACTGCAGGATTTGAGTCCCTGGCAGCGTAGTGTGTTACTGATGGTAGGCTTTGTTACTTTGGTCCCAGCTCTCTGCAGGTCATTCACTAGGTCCCCCCGTGTGGTTCTGGGATTTTTGCTCACCGTTCTTGTGATCATTTTGACCCCACGGGGTGAGATCTTGCGTGGAGCCCCAGATCGAGGGAGATTATCAGTGGTCTTGTATGTCTTCCATTTCCTAATAATTGCTCCCACAGTTGATTTCTTCAAACCAAGCTGCTTACCTATTGCAGATTCAGTCTTCCCAGCCTGGTGCAGGTCTACAATTTTGTTTCTGGTGTCCTTTGACAGCTCTTTGGTCTTGGCCATAGTGGAGTTTGGAGTGTGACTGTTTGAGGTTGTGGACAGGTGTCTTTTATACTGATAACAAATTCAAACAGGTGCCATTAATACAGGTAACGAGTGGAGGACAGTGGAGCCTCTTAAAGAAGAAGTTACTGGTCTGTGAGAGCCAGAAATCTTGCTTGTTTGTAGGTGACCAAATACTTATTTTCCACCATAATTTGCAAATAAATTCATTAAAAATCCTACAATGTGATTTTCTGGAATATTTTTTCTCATTTTGTCTGTCATAGTTGACGTGTACCTATGATGAAAATTACAGGCCTCTCTCATCTTTTTAAGTGGGAGAACTTGCACAATTGGTGGCTGACTAAATACTTTTTTTCCCCACTGTATAGACACATCCTATATGTTAATCAAATCAACTATATGCACTGAGCTTGCTTTAAGTGCATTGTTTGATTAAATAATGAAGACACACAAAAAAAGCACCCGTTGTCTCTTTCTCCTCCATGCTGCAGCAACCACCACAGAACTTCAGTGTTTATCGCGCTGTCCATGTTGCTGAAGCTGCAACGTAATTACAGACATTTCTGACTGAAAAGTTCTGTTACCGAAATCCCCCATTTGTTTAAGAAAACCATTCCCTATTCCCTCAATGCTTGCTCTCTTTACATGACACATGTATGCATCGCACCTATAGCATATCATAATCACATCAAGAAATTGGTTATAACAAACTCTGAACACCGTAACACGTGACAGCAAAATGGATGCAGAGGACGTGACAAATAAACTTGAAACGGGGGAATGTTTACTGGTTGCTCAGGAGGTAAAGGGGAAGTCGGATGTGTGGAATAGATTTGACTAGTTGTGGAAAATACTGGAGATCAAGTAAAATAAGGTAAGGAGCAAGCGCTGTGTGGATCTTATGTGTGCCAAACAGGGGCTGTATAGATTACAATATCATTTTTCTGACCGTTTGGAACAATGTAAACAACACAATACATTATAAGCGTACCAGAGAGTCTGTTGTAACGTTTATTATTTAATTTTTTTGTAAAGCCTTTATTACAGCAAATACTAAAAACAGTCACATTCATTTGTGAATGCAATTTCCAAAATGGAACAGTTTATTTATTGTGTACGCTAATTATTCAAAGGTTGCTTTGTTATTTTATTTTAAAACTCAAATGCTTGATTGCATTTCAGATCATGAATGACTTGTATGCTCTGTGATGACATGAATGAATGATTGATACAGCAGCCTATATAACTATTGACTCCTGTAGCTCACTTGATAGAGCATGGCACTTGCAACGCAAGGGTTGTGGGTTCGTTTCCCACGGGGGGCCAGTATGAAAATGTATGCACTCACTAACTGTAAGTCGCTCTGGATAAGAGCGTCTGCTAAATGACTCAAATGTAAATGTAATGTAATGAAATATAGGCCTAAGTAAGTTATGGTATTAAGACTAAACAGGATGCCTACAGCTCGATGGTGATTATACTAAGCCTACTAATGATAATGATATTACTTATTATTATAATGATGATCATAATAATAATAGTAATAATAACAATAAGAAGGAGATCAAGAAAAAGGAGGGTTATTATTATTATTATTATAAATATAATTTTTCGGACAATTTGGAACAGTGTTAACAACACTAAATAAATTAAGTAATAGCAGAGAGGCTGTTCTAACAAAAAAAAGTGTAAAGCCTTTATTACAGCAAAGCAAAGATTAAAAACAGTCGAATTTGAAAAATTGTTTATCCGACATGTTGTGGTTCCATGAGACTTGTTGCTCACAGAATCAGTAGGCTATTAAACAAACACTCAAACAGAAGCAGGATCTGTCTTATTTCTGTAGATATACAGTATATAGATTATTTATAAAGCCAGGCACATTTAACAGTTAGGCTATTGATTATAGACCTAATTGAGTTGGTTTCCTCTCTCCTCACTTTTCTTAGACAATTAAGGCAAGGGCTGTTTTCTCGTTTCCTAACTCCGCTGCTGCTTCCGACGCATTGTTCTCAACACCAATATGCTGGTTAACTTTGCTATTATGCACATAGCAACATGGTCTAGGAAAAGGCGCCAATTCAACAGTGCACTGATGTTTCAGAACTGCGGACAACGACCGCTATTCAACGCAGTAGAAAGCACATTTGTTATAAAATAAGATTATTTTTATTCGTTTTGCACGATTGTTCTTACATAATATAACCATATACTGTACAATTAAAGTAGCACGTCTTAGAGTGATGGACTGTGCCATCCCCACGGCCTCCACAATGGATCAGTCCACTCAGACAGGCGCCAATCAGACAGGTGTCTTGTACACCTTGAACATTATTTTATTTTTTTGCTACTGCGCGGCTAAAGAAATCTTGGTCGACCAACAGCCTATCGACCAAATAATCGACCAGTCGACTAAATGGGGTCACCCCTAATGGTAACAGCTAGCATGCGCTAACGCTAGTTAACAATTGCACTAACGCTAGTTAGCAACTTGCAGGGGCTTCTGGGATATTGAAAACCGCTGCATTCTTTGTGTGCTCTGAGATGGCATGTACGAATCCAAGAGAAACTCCCTCCCCTTATTTTACAGTACAAAATATTGTTATTCTGGTACGGTGTCCATTTTAGGACAGCCTCAGAGTCACAAGGAGTTGGTATGAACACCGGACAGGATATAAGAGTCGATAATAACCTTGCCAGCAGGCACCCACTGTCAGCTGGGTGTCGATTGACGAGGGATGGATGGGCCAATCGTCCGTCACCAGGTAGGGTTCGTAGGTCACGCCATCCACAAAGAGCGTCACGGCAGGAAACTCCACGTTGATCACGTAGTAGTGCCACTCCTTATCACAGATCTGTAAGACATAGGGACATGCCGTTAGCATTGAGTTAAACCCACCAATGAGTTGTGTAGATCTAGTTGGTATGTTATTTAAGCACATGGATAATCGCATTCACACATACTTATACTTAATTGGATTCAATAAGATATAGTACTGTAACAAACAAGCCCATAAACATGTTACAAGCACTTCCAAGTTGGTCACTTCTATGGGGACAGTGGTTAGTGCACTTGCCTTGGGACCTGAAGTTTGTGAGTTTGAACCTCCTTAGGTCAACCCCACAAATTCACTGCAATATCATAATAGTTAGTTTCACACTTTACTATTTTTTATATCGCTGTGGATGATATTTCTTAAATGAACAACTTATTTATGGTTATCATAAAGCCCAAACCCAACAATGCATGTTTGGCAGTCCCCCTCCCAATCTCAGTAATGAAAAACACATTAAACTTAATTCAGATTCATCCCGCTCCTCTCTTGTTCATTTGTTCTCAGGATAATTAATGAAGTTTAACTGTAAGGAGTCGCTCATTAAGGGGACATGGATTTACGAGCGCTAAGTCAGGGGATCATCACACAACTTTTTCATTAAGCCCAAAACACTAACTTATTCCAAAACCTCCCTGGAGGAAGAACCAAAGCCTGTCAAATCCAGCCCAGCAGTCAGTCAAGCGCCAGCCAATTTAAAGGAAATTGACCCATCTCAGCTCTTATAATAATAGTGTTCTATTCCCCCCCTGGCAAGTGTCTAGTGTTGAGATACTTCCAGGGAAAAGTTGGCCCCACGCTCTGATCTTGGATCAGTTTTTAACTCCCCAACTGTGAGTTGTAACTATCATGGGGTACACTGCGAAACTGACTTTGGATTAGACGTTTGAGGGGCAATTGTGGCGTACATGGTTGAGATCTATTGTGGAGGGAGATAGCTGTCAAATAGTAGTACTGCAGCACTGTATAATTGGAGATGATCGGATAGAATCCCCCACGCACAGAGCTAGGATCAGCTTTCAACTCACAATACACTTCCAAACTGGCTTTAGATCAGAAGTTGAGGGAAACTTCATTCTATTAAATTCACTATATGGAGGGAGATAACTGTCAAACAGCGTGTTTGTAGATGTCTCCAGAGTGCTCCGAGGGGTTTATCATTCAAGTAATGCAATCACATGCTGCTGCTGATTTACCAGTGAGCCTTGAACAACCCCTCTAGTCGGTACACAAGGCAGTCAGGCTTGGCTAACTCCTTCCCTGATGCCTCGCACACCCAGGAAGCCTTTCATGCTCACAAACATGAGGCATAATTTTAAAATGCTGTTTTCTTTAATCAGTGTGAGTAAGACTGTATTAGGTTGCTCGCTGTCGGTAAACACCGATACGCGGCCAATGCAGCGGTAAACACCAATACGCTGTCCACGCAGTGGTAAACACAGATTTGCTGCCCACGCAGGCATAGATGTGAATATATACACTACCGTTCAAAAGTTTGGGGTCACTTAGAAATGTCCTCAATTTTGAAAGAAAAGCATTTTTTTGTCCATTAAAATAACATCAAATTGATCAGAAATACAGTGTAGACATTGTTAATGTTGTAAATGGCTATTGTAGAAACGAGCCAGTTTGCGATGTTCTGTGAAGGGAGTAGCACACAGCGTTGTACAAGATCTTCAGTTTCTTGGCAATTTCTCGCATGGAATAGCCTTCATTTCTCAGAACAAGAATAGACTGACGAGTTTCAGAAGAAAGTTCTTTATTTCTGGCCATTTTGAGCCTGTAATCGAACCCACAATTACTGATGCTCCAGATACTCAACTAGTCTCAAGAAGGCCAGTTTTATTGCTTCTTTAATCAGCACAACAGTTTTCAGCTGTGCTAACATAATTGCAAAAGGGTTTTCTAATGATCAATTAGCCTTTTAAAATGACAAACTTGGATTAGCAAACACAACGTGCCATTGGAACACAGGACTGATGGTTGCTGATAATGGGCCTCTGTACGCCTATGTAGATATTCCATTAAAAATCAGCCGTTTCCAGCTACAATAGTCATTTACAACATTAACAATGTCTACACTGTATTTCTGATCAATTTGATGTTATTTTAATGGACAAGAAAATTGCTTTTCTTTCGAAAACAAGGACATTTCTAAGTGACCCCAAACTTTTGATCATTAGTGTATATACTGTATACACCTATACAAAGGCACTTGTAGTCACCCACACATAAGGCAACGGTGTGCTTTAGGACCAGGCGGACGCCTCCGAGTGGTCGAGTAGGCTGTTTGAAGTGTTTATCCGACTGAAGAAAAAAATATATATATACACACTACCGGTCAAAAGTTTTAGAACACCTACTCATTCAAGGGTTTTTCTTTATTTTTTACTATTTTCTACATTGTAGAATAATAGCGAAGACATCAAAACTATGAAATAACACATATGGAATCATGTAGTAACCAAAAAAGTGTTAAACAAATCAAATTATATTTGATATTTGATATTCTTCAAATAGCCACCCTTTGCCTTGATGACAGCTTTGAACACTCTTGGCATGCTCTCAACCAGCTTCACCTGGAATGCTTTTTCAACAGTCTTGAAGGAGGTCCCACATATGCTTAGCACTTGTTGGCTGCTTGAATGAGTAGGTGTGTCCGAACTTTTGACTGGTAGTGTATATACTGTACATATACAGTGGGGAGAATAAGTATTTGATACACTGCCGATTTTGCAGGTTTTCCTATTTACAAAGCATGTAGAGGTCTGTAATGTTTATCATAGGTACACTTCAACTGTGAGAGACGGAATCTAAAAAATCACATTGTATGATTTTTAAGTAATTAATTTGCATTTTATTGCATGACATAAGTATTTGATCACCTACCAACCAGTAAGAATTCCGGCTCTCACAGACCTGTTAGTTTTTCTTTAAGAAGCCCTCCTGTTCTCCACTCATTACCTGTATTAACTGCACCTGTTTGAACTCGTTACCTGTATAAAAGACACCTGTCCACACACTCAATCAAACAGACTCCAACCTCTCCACAATGGCCAAGACCAGAGAGCTGTGTAAGGACATCAGGGATAAAATTGTAGACCTGCACAAGGCTGGGATGGGCTACAGGACAATAGGCAAGCAGCTTGGTGAGAAGGCAACAACTGTTGGCGCAATTATTAGAAAATGGAAGAAGTTCAAGATGACGGTCAATCACCCTCGGTCTGGGCCTCCATGCAAGATCTCACCTCGTGGGGCATCAATGATTACATTTACATTTTAGTCATTTAGCAGACGCTCTTATCCAGAGCGACTTACAGTTAGTTTATTTTTCATACTGGCCCCCCTTGGGAATCAAACCCACAACCCTGGCGTTGCAAACGCCATGCTCTACCAACTGAGCTACATCCCTGCCGGCCATTCCCTCCCCTACCCTGGACGACGCTGGGCCAATTGTGCGCCGCCCCATGGGTCTCCCGGTCGCGGCCGGCTACGACAGAGCCTGGATTCGAACCAAGATCTCTAGTGGCACAGCTAGCACTGCGATGCAGCGCCTTAGACCACTGCGCCAATGAGGAAGGTGAGGGATCAGCCCAGAACTACACGGCAGGACCTGATCAATGACCTGAAGAGAGATGGGACCACAGTCTCAAAGAAAACCATTAGTAACACACTACGCTGTCATGGATTAAAATCCTGCAGCGCACGCAAGGTCCCCCTGCTCAAGCCAGCGCATGTCCAGGCCCGTCTGAAGTTTGCCAATGACCATCTGGATGATCCAGAGGAGGAATGGGAGAAGGTCATGTGGTCTGATGAGACAAAAATAGAGCTTTTTGGTCTAAACTCCACTCGCCGTGTTTGGAGGAAGAAGAAGGATGAGTACAACCCCAAGAACACCATCCCAACCGTGAAGCATGGAGGTGGAAACATCATTCTTTGGGGATGCTGTTCTGCAAAGGGGACAGGACGACTGCACCGTATTGAGGGGAGGATGGATGGGGCCATGTATCGCGAGATCTTGGCCAACAACCTCCTTCCCTCAGTAAGAGCATTGAAGATGGGTCGTGGCTGGGTCTTCCAGCATGACAACAACCCGAAACACACAGCCAAGGCAACTAAGGAGTGGCTCCGTAAGAAGCATCTCAAGGTCCTGGAGTGGCCTAGCCAGTCTCCAGACCTGAACCCAATAGAAAATCTTTGGAGGGAGCTGAAAGTCCGTATTGCCCAGCAACAGCCCCGAAACCTGAAGGATCTGGAGAATGTCTGTATGGAGGAGTGGGCCAAAATCCCTGCTGCAGTGTGTGCAAACCTGGTCAAGACCTACAGGAAACGTATGATCTCTGTAATTGCAAACAAAGGTTTCTGTACCAAATATTAAGTTCTGCTTTTCTGATGTATCAAATACAAATTAATTAATTAAAAATCATACAATGTGATTTTCTGGAATTTTGTTTTAGATTCCGTCTCTCACAGTTGAAGTGTACCTATGATAAAAAATTACAGACCTCTACATGCTTTGTAAGTAGGAAAACCTGCAAAATTGGCAGTGTATCAAATACTTGTTCTCCCCACTGTACATAAATATATTATGTCCCCCCAACTTCTAAAACCAAAGTTGCGCCCCTGCACATACCTACGTGTGCATGGATGCACGCAGGTAGGCACACACACATACACACACACACACACACACACACACAGGTGTCGCTGTCACGCTGTGGAGAGTAAAATGCCAGAGAGAGACCTCCTGTAACTGACTGATGTCTCCTGGGAACCACCACTCTCAGTAGCTTCTCTCCCTCTCTGTGACTACTCTCTCCAGGGAGATACCATGCCAATCCTCACTGTACAGACCCTTCTCTGAGCTCCCACTCTGTGACTATTCTCTCCAGGGAGATACCATGCCAATCCTCACTGTACAGACCTTCCTCTGAGCTCCCTCTCTGTGACTACTCTCTCCAGGGAGATACCATGCCAATCCTCGCTGTACAGACCCTCCTCTGTGCTCCCACTCTGTGACTACTCTCTCCAGGGAGATACCATGCCAATCC